GGGGGGGGGGTCTCGGTCTCTGCCCCACCCCGGGCCGTCCCGCCGTGCTCGGCTTCTGCGCTGCGCTGTCCTCCGCTCTGGCACGGTTACTTAGGGACGGTTTTTTCCCTCTGGCCCTCAGGGACATCCCGTGGCTCTCAAACTTACATCCTCGACGGAGTTTGTCGATCAGATCTTTTAAGGTTTCTGGTAGCAAGTTAATCTTGTCCTGCCACTTTAAAATACCTGTTTGCACCAGCTGCTGTTTAATATTTCCCTTAGTTAGTACCTGGAGGAAAAGAGGTCATCGTTAATTCTCCCTATTCAATACGAATTCGTTTCCTTTCTAGTCTTCAGATGTAGGATATATTTACTGAATGCTTCTATCTTTTCTGCCCTAATACTAGAAAACTCCAACCAAATGCTTTCTTGGAGTCCCCTTTCTCACTAATAGCACTCAGCAGCGTACAGAGAACACACTGGGGGTTTGGTTGGGGGTTTTTTGATACTGATGGCCATAGTTTTCTCCTTGTCCCTTTGCATTTTTAATGACCTTTCTACAACTCCATGCTACCAATTAATAATGATTATCAAATACTCCTTTTGCCTCTTTTCTTTTTTTTTTTTAAAGGAATCCAGAATAACCTCTTTCTAAATTGGTCTTTATTGAACTTCTAATGAATAGGAAAATTGTGGGAACTGGGAACTTCTAGTTTCTAAACTCAACTTTACCTTTGACCTTGGGCTAGTTATTTTGACCCAGTTCTGCTACAGCTGGGATAAGGGTTGTTTTAATTTTCTTGGACTAAATCCTGGGAATAGAAGTCATCACCCACCTAACATGATCTCTGAGGTTCCTATTTTTTTATTCTGTATTCAGAGGTCACTTTCTTATATCAAGAAGAGACATAGAAGAAAATTTTTTTTGAGAATATAAATGCAAATTATTGACACACATTTCTGATTATTCTTTTCCAGCTCAAGTCTATGAAGTAAAATTGTGAGTATAGCCCTTTATCTAACATATTGATGAGTCTTTGGGGACTGTATTAGAGCAGGAAAAAAAAACCCCAAAGAGTGCTATTTAGCTGTTAAAAGCAGGAACAAAGCCTCTTAAGCAGTATGGATGAAGAGGTTCAAAGTTAGCTCAGTAGTACATCGTACTGATGATCTGTGGGCTTCCCACATCAACACATAATGTAGGAAGAAAGATCTTTTCCTTTGCAATATTAGAATCATAAAAATGTGCAAAAGCTGTTTATTAACTCCTCAGCCCAATGAGGCCTATTGAAGATCATTGCTAAGGATAAATTCCCAGTGCTTTTTCAAATACAAAGAACAGGAATTCCCCTTCTAGAGAGCTAAGGCTCCTGATGCACAGATTATACTCTGATTCATCCCTGAAATTTCCTTGGCTGAACTTGCCTCTTTTAATCACAGCTGTGGCAAGAAGTTACAGCTATTTCTAAACTTAGGTTTCAGCATCCTGATCTACTTGTAATCTATGGAAGCTATACTGAAAAGCCTAATAATCCAGTCAAAACATACAAGGAGAACCACTTATCTAGATATAAATTAAAGTGCTGATGACTTGAGTGCCCTTGTAGAACATGCCAGCAACGGTTGCCCAGCTGCTGTGCTTCCCAAGCAGCTTATAAAGCAGTGTTTTAAGTAACAGTTGAACCCTAAGCAACTGAACAAATGGTGCGATGGCATTTCTCCTCAGAGGATTTACCTTTATTTTAAGGATATTAGATATCATAAGCCACATGGTGGATGTGGGCTGCATTCAGTTCACCATTTACCATTCCTCCACTACTTTTAATATATATATATTTATCTTGCAAAGAGCAGTTGCCTGGTTATGCCATTCCAAGAAATGGTGGTAATCCTTGTGTTGCTTATATACCTTTTGCTGCCTCTGAAACTCTCCCTGGATTGGAGGCAATGCTGCTATAATGTCCAAGGTTCTCCTGACACCTGGAAGCGAAGGACAAGATTCTCTCCTTCAGAATACTGTCATAATCCAATGGCTCAGGTTTACATGGGTTTGAATCAGACCACAATCTTGCTCAAAATTGTGATGGTTGGGAGATGCTTTGTCTACTCTGGTTGCAACTCTTCTTTCATACTGTATTTTGATTTCAGCCATAAGTCGAGAGCAGCAGCTTCTTCAAGGTGTAAAAGTACAGGTTATTATGAGGAACCCATCTCCTCCACTGAAAACAACTATGTGATGGAGGCCATGAAAGACAAAAGCTCTGAAGAAATAAATACGAAAAAGAATGAATATGACTGTGTTGGAAACACCCAGGAATCTGTATATGAAGTAGGGGACACTATATGAGAACCAAAAATGCTCTACAGGTAGCAGTCCTGAAGAGTACCTTCATCCAGGCAAAATTTATCTTCCTATTCACCTTTGCCTCTGAAAAATAGGTTGGACAAGCAGTTTTTGCTCTTCCACGATTTGTGGAGCCTTAACAATCTCTGCACTGAAAATGCAAACCTATATAGGAACTTCAGTTACAGACTGCTGTATAGATCATCTGATTTTGCTTTTCTTGGTTCCCTTTCACCATCTCTGTAGAGGAAAGCCCTTCGAAAGCTAGGGTATGCAGATCCCAGGCCAAGAGCACTGTACTAAATTTACTGCTTTATATGACCAGAAGGATTTGCGTTCACAGCCTTCGTGTGATGGGAGCAGAACCAGCACCAAGGGCTGCTCGACATGCCCATCATCTTTGGGTAAGAAGTGCAGAATGAGGCCGGCCTGGGAACCGGCGTTTCTCCTCCCATCCACCTGAAGTGCTGCTTGGTGGTAGGAATGTCCTTTTAAATGCGAGATAGCCCTTAAAGAAACACTGAAAGACAGATTAAAGCCAGGATAAAACCAAGAACCTTACCATACTAGGAGCAGCAGTACGAAAAGAAGAAATGTCCTGTGCACCCATCGTGCTGTACTCAATACGCCTTTCTGCAGCACTCACAATAAGATGCAGACACACTTTCTATAGTTTTGGTGCTGGACAGCTTGGGCGATTCTGATACTGCAACAAGGCACATTCTTTCTGAGTTCACCTTCTCTATTCTTTCTTTTAATGCATGTTTAATATTTGAAAGAAATTAGATACTTTTCCATAAGTTTGTGGATAGGATTGTTTACACATGCCTAAGTTATTTTGATATGAATATTTTTGCATGACCGGCTCAACTTTAAAATGCCAGCAAGCACTCACAATTACAGCTCCCTAGTAGATACTCATGAAGTACTTTCTTCCTGGCTTAGAAGGCCTGAAAGGTACGTAGGGAGCTGAAAAGCTTTGTTATTCACAATTTCTACTACTCTGAGTAAATCTGTAACACGGATACTGCAGAGTTATGGAGGAACCTTTTTATAATGAATGATAGGGCAATACCATGTCCAATTAAAAGTCATGTGGACAGATGTAAAACAAAATGAGCAATCTGAGGGGTGAGGGGGATACCAGTGACACAAATACAGCATTAGTGGGCCCCCAGATTTGCTGTTCACACTCAGGAAATATCTGCATCTGCAGTTCTCTGCAAGCATCAGCTCAAAATTCACCAACATTCAAAGAGAGTATTAGGTGCTATTAGGAAAGGCATTACAATGCAATAGAAAACAGGATTGTGATACTGTAAAAACCCATGGAATGCTTCCACCTTATGTATGCATGTAGGTCTCATCTTGAAAGGGTTTAACAAAGCTAGAAAAGTTACTGAGAATGATAATAAAGGATGATTAGTGGCATGAAACCACTTTTGTGCAAATGCATTACACTTTCTCATCTTTGAAAAAAGAGAAGAATGAGGCAAAAGTGGAGAAGATGAATAGGGACTATTTGTTTACAATTTCTCCGAAGAGAAAAGGAAGCAGACGTTAGCTAAAATTATCTGGTAGTCCTTTTAAAGGGAGAGGAAAAGTACTTCTTTTATGCAATACAGAAATAAGTGTGAAACGCAATGCTACTCATTCAGTGCTATGAAAACCCAAAGTACACAGAGGCCCAATGAGAAATTAGAGGAATGAATGACATAGAAGTTCATCAAAATTCATAGACTACCAGGCACACTTTACAGGTACTTATCAGTGACCTTATGCTTTCTCCCTGAATTTCCTGTACCACCAGTTTTATTTCTCTTTGTTAAGAATGTACTTAAAAATCAAGGGCTGGGGAATTTTGATTTCAAAATGGAAAGGGAACAAACAGCAGCTTTTGTTGGTGATGATGTCTTGGAAAAAAGTGTCAACATGTACATGCAGCTTATTGCAAATGTGGAGAAGCAAATGAAAATCATTAAACTTCAGGACTGCAAAGTTAGTAGATTTTGTTGTACTTCTCTTTATTTTGACTATAAAAGTGGGTGTGCATGAATGTCTGTGTGTGCCCAGGAATTACACTCCTAGGAGCGTATTAGGTCCCTCTGCTTGAAAGCAGAGGCATTATTGTGAATCTGCTGGATATGTTTTGGATGTTGTGTCAGGTGTTGTAGGCTGTAGTCAGTCACAGTTCAGGGAACAGAAGATGCAAAAGTTGCTGCTAGTCCAGTTTGAGGTTCAGAGCTAATGAAATGAGACGTTTAGGATGTGAAAGAAAATGAGTTTTATTATGAAGAGTGTAAAAAGTCAATGAAGTCTGACAGTCTTTCTTCCTAAGCAGGAAGGTTAGTAAGGGAGGAAAGCTGCTGCAATAGTATTGCAAGGCACACAATTGTCACTAAAAGGGTTTTCCGGAGAACAACAGAAAAATCATGACTGGATGGTGTGTTAATGTGATGACAAATCAACGGTGTTGAAATTTTCTGGGAAACTGTCATGTTTTCTTAATCTTTCAATTCTAGATGAGGTTGCAGTTTTTGGAGCCCTGCAGTAATGTTCTTATTCTTTAAAAAGAGTTTTTTAAAAAAAGTGCGTGTGTGTGTGCATGCATGCGTTTGGTAGGGAGGGGGTGTGAAGGGACTGTTACTGTTACTGGAAAGCAGCCCACCCATCTGAGCTCCATCCCAGAAACAAACTTATTGCAATGGCAATACGGGGCTTCAGTGCTATATGGAGCAACCGGAAAGCAGAGGTACTCCAAAGTCAAGCGACAGGGTGAACACCTGAGCAAAGAGGTGGACATGACACGTGCTGCTTGGAGAATGAGGAGGAAAGAGCTTGCCCTTTCTGTAAGTGGTCTGTTGGGTACAGCCATCCAGACCAGTAGACTTGGCTCTTTGGGAGAGACCTGAGCTCTGTATGAACAGAAGAACGGCAATGCAGCCAGCACCGTGAGCTCTTCCCTCCCTGCCTGTATTTCCATCACTGCTGGTCTTGACCTAGCTGGGGAAGACCCTCTGTGCTGTGCTAGGCTGAGGCAGCTATTTTAAGCAATGTCACCCCTGCTATCAGCTCTCTTGGGAGTTAGCTTGCTTTCCTTTCTCCTTTCATCCTTGGTTTCAGAGAGAAATTGTGGATTTCACACTAGATGATGAAATGCCACTAAAGGTTCTGGGGAAGTTGAAGTGTCATCAGTCAGACAGAGACACCCAGTGTGTCAGTAAGTGCACTGGGTTTGCAAGACGTGTTTTCTCAGGTGGGAGCGTGGTAATGCTCGATACGCTCAGAGTACCTCAACATGACTGCCACGGCTACCCAAACGGGGACTTGGCTCTGGCTGCCTGAGATGACTTGCAGTGCTGTTCATTTGAGGTGGTGTGATGTGGCCAGAGCTCCAGAGAAGAAGAAAGCACTAAGGCAAGATAGAGATATGGAGGCAAAGAGCTTTCCAAAGAAGGGCAGGCTGGTCACAATGCAGTCTGAGCATATCAGGCGCTCTCACTGTTGACGCTCAATCGATGACAGCTGTCAGGTATCCCACAGCTGTGCCACAAAATCAAAAACCAATCCAATTCTGGTTGCATTGCAAAGCTTCAGGCAATGTAGCCGTACAAACATGGATAAATAGCAGTTTTATACTGGCTGGACAACCATGACCAGGAGCTGGTGATGATAAATAAAACCATTTTAAGGCAAGCAGTAAAAGGCAAGCTCATGAAACTGAAAAGAAATCCATGAACTAGGTTCTCTGTGTGTTTTGTGTCTGCACGTGCTGTTGCACAGCTGGACAATGCAAGACAGGGATTGGATCCTAATTCAGTGTGGGATATCTCCGGGAAAAAGGGCAGTTGCTGTGCATCTTGTGCACCACATCAATGGCATACAGCAGCATGGCAGGAAGACAAGCTGAGGTTAAGGCAGATCTTCCTAGACCAGCACTTGTGTTTACCAAAACTAGAGATCAGCCAGCCTTCGTGGAGCCACTAAAGGAGGAACCGGGAAGCTTGCAAAGAGCAAGAATTGTGATAGCAGTGAGGCTACCAAAAGCATCAGTAGCTAGTGCATGTGATAACTGCAGGTAAAGGTAAAACCTCTACTGCTCTAATAGCTGAATTTGTGAAGCCCATCTGTGGCACCAAGTAGGAAATGAAAACTCAGATGACATCATATATATGGGTCCCTTTCTTAGTGCTAGAAAGTATTTACAAGGATTTGGCCGAGATAATGAGTAACCCAGAACTGATGTCATTGACCTGGGAATTCCTGGGAAGGGAAGTTAATTTTCAGAAAAAGCACTTGTATATCACGTTTCTGTCACACAGACCTTGAAGGAGATGCTCATTTACACTACATTTCTGTTTCTTTAGGTGGAACAAAGGTCATGTTTTCATGACTGTCTGTACTATGATTGTCTGGTATATGTGAGAGAATTGTGGTGTACATGACTGTAGAAGCTCATACAATTAGCTTCTGTGGGACATCCAAAAAGTACTTAGTAAACCACAGTCTGTTTAGTTAGATCCGTGAGTTGGCTATGGCTGGACCAAATAAGAATGTCTCAAGTCTTGCAGTAAAAATTGCCTTTTTTTCTGAGTACGGATGATTCAAAAAGAGCACTTTGAGACCTTTCTTCTTCAGTTACCTACTTTTTGGTCGTTTGCTCAAAGCTTGGTACTGAATTTCACCCCCTTGCAGGCTAAAAATCTTATTTCATCAACAGGAAAAATGTAGCAAACTTCTCTAGCCTCTGGCAGACTATGTCAAAACATGAGTGTAAGATGCAGGCTCTGCAGAGCTGGTCTGTATGAGTAGGGTCTGAGGTCCCATCTGCACTCCTTTTTGGGGAAATGGGGACTTTACTGTGCCACCTCTAATCAGCCTGAGATGTAGTAGCAGAAATTGCGGAACAAAGAGTCATACTGGTCACTTTGGCTGAGCTGTGATACTTGAAGAAATGATGCTTGAAAGTGTGTCATGTCCAGTATGTGGAAGGAAGGTGGGTGCCTGCGGCGGGAAAGGCTGCCTGGCACTGCAAGGGAGAAAGCAATGGATTCAATCCAAAGCAGAGACACTGAAATAAATATACTTCATTATGGTAAACCAGGTAACTAGCCATAATGTCTGAGACATTAAAGGCTTTTTCTTCATATGTTCAGATGCAAAAGTATGAGGAGTCCCTCTCTTAAGAAAGAAATGGGCTGACTGTGTGACTCAGCAAGGAGAAAACTAGTAGCTACATCCCTGTCCCAGGGAGAGAAAGATGTCATGTACATCACATTTGAGGAACTACAGTTCTTCGTGTTTGTTTTAGCTAAATAGTCTTTTTTTATCCTGTATAATTACAGCTTCAGGAAGTTTTGCATGTCCGGTTCAGAAAGTAGTCATATCAGCAGTTTTAGCTCGGGTTTTCAGCTTGTTCCAGGGCATGTTCCCCAAAATCCAGCTTCTTTTAAAGTCTTTCGCATAGGAGAGAGTTTGTTGGGACAAGCTTCTATCGCCAGTCATGGGCCAGGGTGTGCAAAAGGTTGGGTTTTAAATTATCTCTCTGAGAATGGACTCATATTCACTCTTTCAGTGACATCGCTTGAATTTTAACAAGTGCTTTTTTGTTTGTTTGTTTGCTTGTTTGCTTTTAGGCAGGACTCAAAACATAGCTAATGGCTCCTTGGTGGCAGAGTGGGCAGATGGGGTACAGGCAGTATGAACTGGTACCACACTGGTAGCTTCAGCAAAGAAGTCAAGAAGAAAAGGCAGCAAAAATCAAGTTTCCATGGCACCAGCAAGGATATGCTCTGCAAGAACGGGTGGTGCTGCTGCCTCCATTGTCTTCCTCAGCAGGATGACAGCTGGTGGTAGCTTTTAGCCTGGAACCTCGTATGAATTTGTTGCACCAGGTCTTGCCACACCACATTCAGCTTTTTGCTCCAGGCTGCCCATGCTTGCCACTGGCAAGTTTTACTGCAGCAATAAGCAAAGCACAGCTGAAATCACATTCAGCAAGCCATCCAATTGTGGACATGCCTCCACCCGAAGACTGAAATGAGACCTGCACAGTTCTCATCAGTTTACTGACTTTGGTAAAATGAAGATAGTCTCCAGTTTTCATTGCCCTCTGCAGAGAGGGAACAAGCCATCATTGACAAATGGCAGCAATTCCAGAGAACTGTCTGAGCTCAGCTGCAATGTAAACACTTCAGCTAAAGCAAACAGGTACCTGTCATGATGGGACATAGCTGTGGCAAAACTACACCAATTACCTTTCCCTCCCAGTTCCAACAGAAAATGGCTCCCTGTATTTCAGACACGTCTGCCTCCTGCTCAGAGGTACTATTCTCCTGGTGCAGTTGTTAAAACTATATGCTAAGCCATGTCTATTGAATAAATGCCAAAAAGTTGCTTTAGTGAATGATTAAAAGCCTATAACAGAATTCACTAGGTCAGTAGCTTTGCTTTTATACATGTTTCTTATCTTCTGTAATTCCTTCTCCTTTTGGTAATAATTAGCGGGCACATATTAATCCTGTGCATAACACCTATTGATAACTTTTGGACGTACTTTTAAAGGTACCCCTACAGAGCACACCCAGAATGTCTCCTGGATTAAAGTCCCTCTGCCACCAGTCGTAAGTCACCTCCTTAGAAAACACTGCGTGTGCTTGCAGAGCATGAAACATGATGACTTTTGCCCATGAACTGGACTATCGCAGCAGAAATGTGTACCAAGGTAGTCTGTGATGCTGTGAAAATTAGAGCACCAGGCAGTGACCATCTGATCACCAGTAGATGGTAAAAGCTTGCGGATGACTCTAGCTTGTTAACCTTTCGTTTCCCCATGCACCTTCTCCATGGCCCCAAACTCCATCGCAGTTTCTGGGCAGGTGGTAGAAAATGGAGCTTTTGCAGGGAAATTCCTATCATAGTGAAGAGCAGGATGTTGTTTTTTTAACATCTCTTTGCACGTTTTCTGTTAAAACAGAAAAAAAGCAGTAAAAGTGGCATCCTAAGTTTTCTGGTCTAAAAGGCTCAGACTGTTTGGCAAAGAAACTAGGGCTGGTTGTCTTCGTCACTCAGGTCACAGACTGACCTACTCAGAAGGTGAATGGGGTTGCCCTCAGAAAGTCTGTTGCTGCAGAAGTTGGTACATGCGTGTGGTGGAAGAGCTGAGTACCATCAGCAGGAGAAGACACTAAGGAAATGGAATTGAGCACCAACAAGTTGGTCTCTGCCTCATGCTCCTGCACGGTGTTAGGTGAGTCAGTGCATTCACTGTGCTTTTCCATTTCTGGATGCCCAGTTTTGAGCCCTCATGGTACGATGGAGAGAGATGCTGAGCACTCTGCTGAGCAATAGCATCACACACAAGTCAGAGGGAACTGAATTCACGCTTCACAAGCATCCTCAATTTTGCTTTCCCTTGCTACTGAGTGCTTGACTGTATAGTCATCATAAAGCTCTTTCACTGTGAAGTGAATGCAAATCTTTTCCATTTCTGGATGCCCAGTTTTGAGCCCTCATGGTACGATGGAGAGAGATGCTGAGCACTCTGCTGAGCAATAGCATCACACACAAGTCAGAGGGAACTGAATTCACGCTTCACAAGCATCCTCAATTTTGCTTTCCCTTGCTACTGAGTGCTTGACTGTATAGTCATCATAAAGCTCTTGAAAGAAAGAAAGAAAGAAAGAAAGAAAGAAAGAAAGAAAGAAAGAAAGAAAGAAAGAAAGAAAGAAAGAAAGAAAGAACGAAAGAAAGAAAGGACAGACACAATTATGAAGAATAATAAAAAAGAGCACTAGTCAGAAAAGTCAAGAGAATGGTAAAAGAAGTGGGTGGGGACAGGGGAACATGAAATGGAACTGGAAAGATCCTTACAGTCTTTGTCCATCCTTTACCCTTCACCTAAGTCAGCAGTGAAATGGACTCGTGATATTTCAGAAAGAGGATCCTAGATGACAAAGGACAGAAGAAAGGGAAGTGTTCTTCATTTGCATTCTGGTCCCAGGAGTGTGGGGGTCTCTCACAAAGTGCAGGGAAAGGAGGACGGACCTGCAGTTCTGGGAGAATGGGAGAAGTTGTGCAGATAGTGGTGTTTGTGATGGCTTTCATCAGCTGCAACGGTGAGTAAATGCTTCAACGTGTAAGAACAAAAATCAGAGTACAAAGAGGGTAGGGAAAATCTTTTGAATTACAGTGTCTTAATTTTTAAAAATTGTCAAATGTGGAAAGTCTTTAGTTTGTTGTATGAAAAATAGAGCCTGAGAATTCACAAGAGTCTCCTTTGGTATCAGATACAACAAGGTGCTTTTAAGAGTGGAGCAAACAGGGCAGTATCGGGCAAAAGGTCAGCTCCCATCCCCAAAGCAAGAACAAAACAGGATTGTTCAGGACCCTTGGAGAGGACCTGCTCTGGTGTGTTAGCTTCCAAAACAGTCTTTGTGAGGCTGGAATATGTATTATTCTAGAATTTAATAATGTATCACTATTGTTCTGCTAGCATGATCCTGGGAAGAAGAAGAGCTGTAATTTTGAGACTAGGTGTGGGCACACACATGATTCCCCTTGGTCTCTCCTGATCTGTTGACTCTCTACGTGCATTAGGAGAGGTAATACTGGAATCTTTGCTTCGATTCATGTGCCCATGAGGCATATGTGCCACTCCCAGGGCACATTATGACACTGACACCAGCAGAGGAAGGTTTTGGGAAACAGGAGAAAGGTGCTTTAACAAGTTGTATACAGAAGCACAGAATTGCTCCTGACATTTAGAAAAATGGGTTGAAGTATGTTCCCCATTTCATCATAAAAAAACAGCTTTGGAGATTTCTGGGGTCTGCCTCTCAAGCAACTTATTGTGAGTTAATGCAGCTGAACATAACCAGTGCCTTTCTGGGGAGGAGGGGAAAGGGGAAGCGGGATAAGGGGGTATGGGTAGAGGTGAGCCAAGTACAGCTAAATTCAGGTAATTTGCTACTTACAAGAGGCACTTCCCAGAGGAGCTGTGGTCTCAGTGGGCAGACAGCTGGAGAGATTGGGAGAATGAGCCGGGTACCACAAAATCCGCCCCCTCTTCTGTGTCCACTTGAGTGCTCAGCAGGGTGCTTATCTGGTTAAAGCAGGTATGATCCAAGCAATCTAGGTCAGATCTGAAGTTCTCTAAGGCTAAAGCAAAAAGATTGGGTTTGGTCCACTGCTCCTCTTCCAGGTCCAATACTTCAAAACAGATCCCTAAAGGCTCCTACCTGCATGGCGCTTCCATGCCACCAGGACAGCTGGTGCTGGCAGGCTAGGAAGGAAGATGCTCAACCATTTTAGAAAATGGGCCAGAAATGTAAAAGTTTAATTTTTTTTCCATTATCGTGCATTATAGATAATACAAATCCCTCTGATCAGTCTTCTAATCTCTAACATAGCCCTTAAGGTTTTCGCCTGGTCCAGCTCTATTTCCCCCTGGTGGGAGAATTCACATTGTTTGTCTGGAAGACCACATCCCCGTTTAAGAATTGTCACTGGGAGGAAATACTTCTTTTGAAAATGCTGTCTCAGGGATTTTTATTTTGCTGAGTTTCTCCCATTCCTTCCAATCAGCTCTCCTTTGGAGTCATCCCTGCTAATGTTGAAATTGGTCATATACAGAGTGTAGCTGCTCTGCAGGGAATCAGTGGATGCTGGCAGCTATTTCACGGAACACAACAATGCAAAACAATATGGGAGAGATGTTTAAATAAAATTGTGTCCAGATTAATACACTGGATAGAAAACATACTTGAATTTGAGTGTACCAAATGCCTTGAGGGTATTTCTGAGCAGTTTTCCAAATAGCTTCCACCCTTCTTAGTTTTTCTTGGTGGGAGTCTGTGAGAAGAGGAAGAAGATAAATGGAAAACCTTTAAAAACTGATACATCAAGCAGTTGTGTTTGACTGGGATGTGAGATTTGAAGAATGGAGCTGTGCCTGCCCTCTCAAAGTCATCTGGTAAAGGAAAACAAAAGCTGCATGTCAGAAACAAGCTTCCACTATGCTCAGCCCCAGCAGTCCCCTCAGCTGTCCCCGTGGACACAGATCCACAGATGTTTGCCTTCCCCCAACTGGCACCTCCTGTTAGCTCTGGGACAGGCTGTTGCACAGAGAAGTGCTTCTCCCCACACAGCTATACTGCTGGGTCCTGTGAGTACCAGGGAAGTTGCATAAAAAAATAGTGACATTAATGAATGCAAACATGTTGCACTCATTGTTAATTGCAGTGAAGCAGTAAACTTGCTTTGTTTATCCTTCCTCCCATATAGAAGGTAGAAGTCAACACTGCAAGTGGTGGTGTCAGAGCATCCCGTGTCAGTGGGGGAGGCCGTTGCTGTTTGACTCATCATGTGCAAGTGTAAGCAGAAAGCCAAGCAGCTGAAGTAGGGTGTAAAGGCTGGCGCTAGGGAGCAGGAATAAGAGATGCTCCTTAAGGTCTTGTGAAGACTGTAGCTGTGATGCTGCCACTAGGAGCAGGATTTGTGCCTCTCTGTACCGAGAAGGAATTGAGAACTGGAAAGTGTCCAGGGAGAAACAATAAAAATAGCCATGAGGTCAGAGCAACTGTTCACTTCCCTATGCTCAGTGAGGTGGGGACAGGCCCTGGTTTAGCTGGCTGTGGTCTACAGCACGTCTAAGATGTGGCCGCATGCTGACTTCCACCGCCTAGTGATTCCCGTCTATCCTAAGGACGTTCTCCTCTTCTGCTGCGTTCTTATTTCTTCCCTTCAACTGTTGTTCCCTGCAGCCCTCCTGGATCTGTCTGGTGTTCACCAGGTAAAGGGCACATGGATGGGATCCACCACTTTACCGTGTACCTACATGCCCTCAGAAGGTTTCACACAGCAAATGCTCATCTGGAGCATGGAGCGAGATTATAGCACCTCTACCATCTTTCGGAGGGATGATTCTGGTGACCATGTCTTGTTGTCTCGGTTCCGAGAGCGGGTCAGTGTGCCAAAGCATAGCCCAGGGAACGCCTCACTCCTAATCGAGAACCTTGAAATCCCTGACAGCGGACACTACACCTGTCAAGTCATCTGGAGGTCTAAAAATAACAGCTTGATAACAAAGGAGGTGACCACTATGGTTAAAGTTGTCAAAGGTAAATCCAGCAATAAAGCCCTGCTCTTGTGTAGCCAGTCTAATCCACAGAGCATGTAGGAGAAGCAGCAGCTGGTGGGAATAGTCTTCACCATACTGTCTACCCACATCCAGGCTGGGTGTTGAGGCATCCTCTTCCCTTGCTATGTTAGCCCTTCTTCTCCACTCGTGGAGGTGTAGGGATGGACTGGGGAAGGGGGATCAGTTAGTATACACCCCAATCTGGATCTATCAATGGGCCACTTGAACCCATGGTGTTTGAGATAACATCCAGATCTCGTTTCGGTTTTGTGCAGGTAGCCAGCATCTCTGTGGTTCTTGTAGCAAGTGGCACAGCAAGTGGGTGTTGTACTAGCCAAATCTGCTTTCTCCCCTTCCCAAGCATCCTCAGTGTGTGCTAGAAAGAACTGTCTTTCTGCACGGGGGGCACCCACTCAACAGAGCAGGACTTGTGTGATATGGCAGTAGCAATGGTGGCGTAGCTGGTGTAAACCTGGCTTTAGGCACAGGTGAACTTAACCTGTGCAAGAGAGGGAGAGTGGTGGTGGTGGCCCTCTTCTTCCTGGGAAAGCACTGAAAGCCAGAGCGTGAACTGTGGAGGGGGGGGAGGACCCTTCCCCACTTCAGCCAGGGCCAGCATGACCTGGGCCCCATCTGCTTTGTCTTCCAGTTGCAGTGACCAAGCCCGTCATCAGGGCCGGCGAGCTGGGGCTGACAGTCCCGGCAGGAGCCAGGACCAGCCTGACCTGTGTGGCCAGCGGGTCCCCCCCCATCAGCTACCGCTGGTTCAGGAGCGCCCCGGGAGGGAAAGCCCTGCTCCTGAGCAGCCAGGCCGAGCTGGCGTGGGACAGCCTGCGGCCCTCCGACACCGGGAAGTACTACTGTGAGGCAGAAAACAGGGTCAGGGCCGGGGCTGTGCAGCAGAGCGACACCGTTGAGCTGACAGTGAGAGGTGAGTCCCCAGCCTAGAGCTCCTCATCTCCGCTGCACAAGACTGAGGCAGGGAGTTTCCTCTTTCATAGCAGGATCAGACATGTAACGCTGAATATGAATTGTGTCTTGATTGCCACCCAGAGAGGAAACCACAGGGACTGACATCCTCCCTGCTTCAGTGTGCCTGATCATGGCAGGGGTCAGGAAAATATCCTCTGTGTCTCTCTGGGACCAGGGCTGTGCACAATGGGAGCCTGGCTCCTGCCCTTGGCATGTCTTGCTCTTACCTGGCTTGTACTGCAGACAGGGCATGAGGGAAATGGCCTGATGACCAGTCTCTCCCGCAGAGTCCCCAGTCACACAGCAGCCCAGCCCTGAGACCGACAGGCACAGCAGACCCCCACTCACCCCCCAAGGCGATGCACCCCAGCGAGTGCCCACAGGTAAGCAACCTGGGCTGCAGGGGAAGGGTTGCCCGTAGCAACGCTGGTCTCCGGGAGGGATGCCATTTCAGAGGGGCCTCCCATTCCCGTAGGTGAGTGGAGTTCCATGCTAGAAAACACAAGATTTGCGCTGGCAAGGGTAGGTTGACGAATGCTGTCTGTAGACCAAACACCAAACCTGGCTGCTGCAGGGAACAAATCCCTGGCCTGTCAAACATCGGGTTTTCTCTAGGCAGGAGCTGCCCTCCCGGCTGCCCATCCACAGACCTGCCGGAGTGCACTTATTGCCTGAAGTTTGCTTTGTGTTTCTGCCTGAAAGGGGCTGAAAACGCTAGCGCTGACCTCAGCCCCAGCCTTCGCGGTTTGTCTGGGGTTTGGCTGCAGTTGCAGGTTTCGTTCGGTTTTAAACCACTTTAAAAGCGTGTTTCGAGGCGCTCCCAAGCCCCGCGGCTCTGCTAACGGCGGGCGGGCGGGCGCGGGGGCTCGGC